TATTGTTGGATTGGTAAAGTGTATTGATATATTTCTCGTGTTTTGCTTTACATAGATTAATTAGATACAAAAATTCTGTTTCAAAATTTTTTTACGTTATATATTGTATATTTTTATTATCCATTATCATTTGAAACGTTATAACCAAATATATGCCAAAATTTTAATTTTGAAGATTTATTATACATTTAATATTTTTTTTCAAACAGAATAATCAAAATTTAATGAAATCTTATATGTCAAAATATATTATATATATTATGGTATTATTTTAATTGAATCAGTATAAAAAATCAAGTCTTTATCTCGAAACCACACTAACATCTACAATACAAATTCATTGCTATCATATATCCAAACTATTACAAAATATATATTTATTGGCTGTTGAGGTTTCTCAATCGGAAAAAAAAATTTTATTTATAACATCTATCTGTAAATTTCCATAAAATTATTTAATCCAAATCTTTTTCAAAATATCTGAAATATATTTTATCTTGTTAAAATGAAGAGCATATTATGTTATTATATATGTACATTACATAATAGTTTATCTAACAATACATTTAGAGTCAAATAACAAAAAAAAATGCTCTGAATTGATTTGACAAAAAAAATAATTTAGCATTAAAATTAACTTTAGTTTTTTTAGATTTAACATATATATATATATATATATATATATTAACACATCATACAATAAATTGTACCAAATTTTTGCACAAAGCTCCTGTCATAATTGACTCAACATAATTTTTTTCCTAAAATTATAACTCAATGTTTATTATGAAATGGTATGAATGTTTGTTAAATCTAGATATTAATACTGAAATAACGTTTATTATTGAATACATTATTTTTAGATCTAATTGCATCTACTATGATTCCATAAGCCTTTAAGGTCAAATTGTTTGTGAGTTGATAATCAAATTTGAAAATATTGACTTGCTTTTCACCTCAAATTGATGGAAAAAAATTTAATTTGCAGTCAAAAGTGAAAATCTTACTTTTTTGACCACATTGCATATATTCTTTAAATTTCTTATTGTCAAATTGCTAATTCATCACAAGACTTTTTGGAAACTTTAAATATGACGTCATGATGTGACATTTAAGATTTTTTCACGAAAATTCATCACACTTTTTTGGTTGCTTTGAAATTGTCATTTTTCCAACATGGTAAAAAATTGTCACTAGATTTCATTGCTGTATATTTTCAATTGCAAATCTAAATCAGTATGGGAGCGGCTATTTTTCCCTCAATTTTTCTAATTATCCCTCATCCTAGCCTAATGAGCACTACTTCTCAACATTTACCTTTGCCCGCAAAGATTATATCACGGAGCTCTAGTAAACATAGGATAGATGTGACTAATCACAGAGCTCTGTTCTGTAGGGTGGCCAATCATATAGCTCTGTTGAGTAAAATGAGGAATTATTACCCCAAACCGAGGGATAAGTAGCCCTCCCATCAATATGCACAGTAACAAAACTTTTTATCAAAGTCAACAGAAAAACTATATGTTTCATCTGAACAAAAATACTATAGAATATTCAACTTAGGAAAACAACATACATGAATCACAAATTTTTTGTTACAAATATTATTCTAAGCTCTGGATGTATTCTGCTAGATTTTTTGTAACATTCATTAATGCATTAAACTCATCTAAACTAATCTAACGAAAGTATATCAACATTTGTAAATGCTTATATTTTAAATTATCTCAATATATGCTCAAAATAAAAGATGTTTCATAAGATAAAAACAGATTTCCATAATAAACACAAGGTTAAGAATTTATTGAGCATATTAGTATAAAAATATGCTCAATAAATTCTTAACCTTGTTATTATTATGGAAATCTGTTTTTACAAGAATGCTCTAAATTTAACAATTTTGCGCTCGTTTATATATATATATATATATATATATATATATATGTTACATGAATTACACCATTCCAATGTCACAATTAATTATGTTTTGTACAAATAATTACTTTCACTTGAAAATTCATTTGAGATAATATAATCAATAAGCACATCAAAACAAATTTTCAATATATTTTGGAAATAAATTTATATGATTTTTTCCAAATTTGATTCGAATTAAATCTAATTTTTTTTCATATTCTAGATATTACACTTAAAATCTTAATTCAATATTTTTTTTCTTCAAGCTAAGGTGATGTTATATTTTATGAAAAAGAACAGAAGATGATTTCATTTGAATTATTACACAAAGTACAATTATTTATGATAACATTAAAGGTGTGATTTTTGTTAACTTAGGTGGTGTATACTGTGCAAGGTATCATGAAAAGTCTAAGTGTTGGTATTCCACAAAACAACTCGATTACATTAGATTTAAACTTGGTTCAAGATAACCAACTTAATATTTGAGAGAGATTTCTTATATGTGACATTGTTTCATAGATTAATTTTAATACATATTATTATAAGGATGTACAAAGAGTTCATCAAAGTTTAAATTATATGGTAACATGGAAGTTAACTACAACGAATCATTTCATGAACATATTGAAGTTAACATGCTAATGAGAGATTGTATTATAAGCTACCACTACTAGACAACAATTTTACATTTAAAGATTATCCTATGATCTAGCCAGGCTTATTAGTCAACGACTATGCATAGCATAACATAGATCACTTATAGGTACAAACCGTACGTTAATGAATATGTGGACTTTCGTTTCAAGTACTATAGATATTCTATATGGGATTTGACAAAGTTTTGACTGCAATACAGTTAGTGATTCTTACCCATTAGATTTCATCGTTACTACCGGATGGGGTGTCCTGAATGCTTTTGCCACATTACTTGCTTTCCTTTAGAAAAGAACGATGCTCGGAGAAATGAGGTATATTTTCACAGCAGGAGTATCTTCTCTATGCAAGTTCCAACTCCGCCACTCCTCCAAAATCCGGGCATTTGAAGACTCTGAGCCCTCCAAACTTGGCGATCTCATTATGGAGAAGGCGGCGGCATTGGATTCATAAATACTTTGAGCCGTACACGACCCACGAAATCTGGTTTCCGATGCAGAAGTGTATGATTCTTGCGTTTTCTTGCTGTGCACAGGGTTGGATTCTATAGAGACTTCCAAATTCATCCATTCTAGAGCCGAAACAAAGCAGAGTGTGTCAGAGCGAGGTTTGAAATTGAAATTAGTAATCTTCGATTTAAACATACTTAGACGCCAATATTATGTGCGGCCTTCTACAACAACAATTCGATATGCGTGGGATGTGGGCCGTGTAAACAAAAATGGACTGTATATTGCTTCCAGTGACTGTTGCTTAGTGAACCACCAAGCCCACGGCTTTCTGGACGTCAGATGTCGATACCTCCCCAATCATTATGTTGGAGAAGTGTTCGTGCATCGTCAAGTTTGGAAATGGGCGCTAGCAGATTAGACATCAGGTAGACATGAACTGACGTTGTCGGCTACGGTTGATGAGTCTCCTCACTCCCGCGTTCAGCGACATCTGAAGCGAAGCGTTTCCGTGTGGTCGAGTAAGGACATCACCATTCCAGCAACTATACCCAAACTGACAAGAAATGACTAGAATTATCATGAGTCTTTTCTCATGCCGATGAGATACGGGAAGTTGCAGAGCAGTCCTGCGTAGCCGAGCCAGCCTCGCTAAACTTTATCGCGTTACAGCACGTCCGGATGATGCTCTACTGCTCTGGGCACGAAGGGCAAAAGATTTCGAAAATCCGAGCAGACAGGATTCGCATCACCCAAGACGTCTGTCTCCTGTTCTCATGCTGCCGAGGCTCAGGGCCCGCGTGTGCGCTACAAGACGAGAGGAAAAGCCAACTTCATCCAAAACCTTGACAAGAAGAGCGGACGCCCGAAGAAGCTTCTTCGCTGCTTCGACGCGAGCCATGTGCAAACGAACAACGCACGAGGCATCAACGATCGGGTCGTAGACAGGACTCGACGGCCCCTCGGCGATACCGTGTTTCCTGCCTCAGAGGGGTTTGACTCGGAATGCCTGCCTGCCTGCCAGTCGGGCCTGGCGACCGTGTCGAGACTTTTGACGAGGAGACGAACTCGGTGATTGACCGAGGCCAACGGGCCGCAGGCAGCCGGGCAGACAAGCGGAGCCGGAGCAGAGCACGACGACAAATGGAAGGCCGACGGAAGGAAGAATAGTCTGTAAATAAAGCGGGGTCAGCCGACATGGTCCCGCTTGCTCGCTGGCGGGCTGGCTGGCTGGAGGTTCGGCAACGGGCATCAGGGCGGGCTCCGGACTCGTGTCGGGCGCTGGCTTTGGACGGGAGCGAAAAGTCCGCGGGCCACGCAGCGACGAAGAAGCCGGGAGCGGGAGCGGGCGCGGGGGTGGCCTTTTGACATCGTGGACCGGGCGCCGGTGGAGGAGGGGGAGGGAATAACAGCTCGGCAAGGCTAGAAACGACGCAGTAAATGCGAGGGGCCGCTGAGCGGATTTCCAGAAGCGAGCGAGGAGTACGGCGGCGAAGAGGCCTTGCGGCGAAGCGCAGGGCCTCCGGAAGATAAGTTTGCGTCAGACGAGTCGGATCTCCGACACCCCTCCTGGGCCCGTGCAGGGCAGCGGTCTGAAGTTCTGCACGCTGGGCGGGCGGGCGGGCGGGCGGGCGGGCGTCGGGTCAGATCCTGACTCAGGAAAAAGTCAAGCCCGAGCCAGCGCTCTTCTCCCTCCGCAGTGCCCTCCTGCGAATCATGCCTCGGGCTTCGGCATTCCTCTGCGGAATCATAATGGGTCGCTCCACCCCCGGCCCCGCCCGCCGAACCTGGCCTCCAGGCCAGTTCGACACGCGCTGCATGACCTGTTGTTCGCCCCGGGTTCTCGCCGTGCTGCAGCGGCGTGAACGAGCGAGCGTCCCCCCGTCCCCCCCGTCCCACCCTCCCTTGCGCTCCCTCTTCGCTCTCGGCAAGTGGGCAGCGGGCATCGATTGAGGAGCAGCAGCAGGAGAAGGAGGAGGAGGAGGAGGAGGGAAGGAAGGAGAGAGAGAGAGAGAGGGAGAGGGGGAGAGAGAGAGAGAGAGGAGGGAGGTGCAGGTGCGCAAGCGAGGCAGAGGAGAGGGCAGAGGGCAGAGGAGGGGGAGGGCGAAGCGAAGCTCTCCGAGGTTCGTTGGGCTCTCAAGTGGCAGTGGAAAATCCCGGAAACGAGCATTCCCCTGCTTGACAGCTCTGTCGATTTGGACCTCGGCGTCGTCGGTCCGGCTCGGACCTTGGTTGAACTGGATCCCCCGAGGACGAGGAGGAGGAGGAGGTGGAGGAGGAGGGAGGGTGGTGGAGGAGGAGGAGGAGGAGGTGGGACGCTCTGAGGCATGTTAGCAATTGCTGCGTGCTGAGTTCGACCTCTGCTCGTTGTGGCGCAGTGCAGTGCGTGTTCAGGATCGCAGACCAGGCGGGGACAGACGGACTGACAGCCTTCGGCGCCAGTCGGTACATGGGCGTAAGAGATTGAGTAGACGACGGATGCTCGGATTCAAGACATAAAATCTCTTCGGGTAACGTTGGGACCTCCTCCGAGTACATCCACGACAAGAACGACACCATCAACTACTAGTACTAGTACTACTACCACTACCACTACTACTACTACTGCCACCACTAGTGCTGTTAGTCAGCAAGTGCGTGCACGATTCGGGTGCTAGACGAGCAGACTGACTGCCTGACTGGACGCGATGGCTCGGAGTACTCATGTGCCGAAGTTTGGAAACTGGGATGCCAACGATCATATGCCCTACACCGCGGTTTTTGACCATGCCCGTACCGGGAGAGGTAAACCTGTCAATCCGAATGATCCCAGCGAAAATCCTGAGATGTTCGGGGGAAGTAGAACCAATGGCGCTGCCCCTGGGAGGCGAATTTTTAACCCTAACGATCCCGAGGACATGGATGCTTCAGATCTGCATCAGGAGAGACGTGGCACGGGGAACCGAGACTCAGGCAATTCGCGGGCGCAGCAGCAGCAAGCTGTAGCCGCACCACCCAGGAGCGGCCAAGAGCCCCAGGCACGCAGGCCGGTAGCAGCCATTCCCGCACAGGGACCACATGCCGAGGCCCGGAGTAACCAGATGCCCAGCCGAGCACCGCCGACTGATCACACGAAGCGCCCCGGTAATAGAGAGAGTGTTGGACTCGATCGCAACATGGACAGTGCTTCGACCAGCTTTTCTGCTGATCAGTCTCCCTCTCACCCGACCGGTAATCAGGCTCGAAAAACAGCCACAGGTATGCTGGGCGGCGCCTCGCCCGCCCACGACAGCAGTCGCGGGAGGAGGTCGACGGGCGAGGAGCAGGCCGTTGCTCCGTCCACCCCCACGAGACAAACTCGTCTTCGAACTGGAAACTCTAAACCGGAAGATAGCGCCCAAAACGGGGCAGCGGCTTTGCCGCGGTTCGGTGCGTGGAATGCTCAGGATCCAGGGTCAGGGGACGGTTTCACGGTGATTTTTAACAATGCCAGAAATGAGCGGAGGGCGGGAGGGCCCGTCCGCATTCCTCAGCCGAACGACAATTCGAACGACGGCGATCTGTACAACCAACAGAACATGCTCAAGACGCGTGACCCCAATAGGAGATGGTTTTGCTGCTTTTCGCCGACTGTGAATGCGTAAGAAAGTGCAACTTGTCAGCCAGTTGGATGCACCCCCGTGCAATTCGTTCCAATTGGTCGCAGCATAGAGAAATTACGAACATGGCGGTACCGGCCGACCGTGTCATATTTGGAGAGTGGTTTACCCTGCTCACTTGAAAGGAGTGAGGTCCAATTGTATCCGCTCTGAGGTCCTTCAACTTCGTTCTTTACAGAAAGAGCAGGAGTCGACTCCCTCCGTTGTATACACCAAATTAGCATCAACTACGAATTCTGGTGGAAGGAACCCTAAGTGGAGGTACTCCTTCCTGGGAGGTGGGATGCCACCTTCTTGTTCTGGTTACTAAATGACCTGATCTATTTCCGTAGGGGTTTCTCTCTGTGGTATATTTGGCTTGCAAGGGATGGGGAGGTGCTGGAATCACCACTTTAGATCAGAGAACCATCTGTAAGTAGATCTAGATGACAAACGATAGTGTAAGAAAATTGATCTGGGACTAAATTCAGACTTAACATGGATAGAGTGAGAGGCAAGACGCTTTGCTCGTGGAATTTGATGTTAGCTGTGGTGCCAGACGGCTCGTTCTGTTCTGTGCATCCGGAACGATAGGAAAGTCAGTGTAATCTAAATGTCAGTATTAATTGGTTGCAAAAGAGGCGGCCGGAGGCTTTTTTCGAGGAATAATATGCCTTCAGGCCACTCAGGTATTTGATGTAAATGACGCCAACTGCATGAAGTGAGCGTCCGGTTTTTTGATGCTTGAAAGTAAAGTATTGTTTCTTTCTGTTCTCTTCACACATCGTTATCCGCTAGTTGCTAGGGTTGAATGCATCTCCTGTCAGTTAGATGGGCAGCTGCCATTGCTTCTGAGAATGAGCGCGATATATTTTGGTCGGGATACTCTGCCTCCACGCGCCACATAGCAAGAGTTTCACGCTGCGAAGTGGTGTAAGTGTGAATCGGGGAATATTCCAGCTCTTGTTATCCTATGCTATTTGAGAACTTCAGGTTCTTAATACGGCAGTTGACAGTTTCCAAACATTCGTTTCTATATGAGCGTCACAAGAAGCTTCTTTACAATAAGCCTTCTGATGGTACTTCGAGGCACAGAGCGAGCTGAGCGGCAATGTTAAGACGACGAACTTTTGTCTGGTCGGTTTTTGGCGGCTACATGTAAAGAGAATGTGATCACCTTCGCGGTCAGAACTTAAACTTCTTGACGTTCAACTGGCAGGTCAGTTTAGCTGATGTGACTCTTACAAAGATCCGGTGTGTACGGGTCATCGCTCGATACATCGTTGGACTTCAACTGATAACCTTCTTCTTCTGACTCCATCTGCTATCCTTATTCAGTTAGCTGTGGGCCTTTGCTTTGCTGCTGCGATATGTTTTGTAGCCTGAAATATTTACTCTTCATGACTTGCATCTTCTTTCATGGAAGAGATTCGAAAATTTCATGATTCTCGATCTTTCTCTCGATGTTTCCCGCAACGTCATGTTATGCTCGAGCAAGAGCGACCAACAGACTGCTAAGCGATCTGTACGTAACATATCTTGAGAATGATACGTGCGTTACTCCTATTCCACTCTACCACATCGACTGGAACAAAGCCCAGAAATTGCTCTCTTGTTATAGTAGTGTACTGTCCATATAAATATAACGGCATCGGATGCTCGAGCAGTGCAGATGCTCTAGATAGTGATTGGAATAGAAGTTAGTTGTATGATTTCAGATTAATCTACTCATTGGATTCAACTCTTTGATTTACCATGTAACTTTTTCTGGTAAGTCAGTCTTCATGTCGGGGTTTACATCAGGTTTTTGTGTTGATGTCTATCAGTAAATTGTTTGTCCTGTGGTTGCACATTTGTTACCTTTTCTGCATTTTACTTGGATCAGATTTGCACCTCCTGTGCTGAAGTTGAGCAAAGCATACTGTCGAAGAATTCTAGCAATTTGTTTTGTTCTCAATGTTAACTGTAAGTTTTACCGTGTTGCATTGTAGAGAAATGGCGACCATTTTTGGCATGACTTATTTCGGAGATCCTGAAACGCTCCTCCATGCCCAGCGGCGCCCAGTTTCTGTAACTTTGAAGGATGTTCCGAAGAATAAGTACATAGATTTGTTTCGGCAAAAAGGACGTAAACATCTGAACGAAGATTCTCTGAGAAGAGCTTTGCTGCCCGAGATATTCACAGACGCTGTTGGTAGGCTTCTCAGTCCAGCTGAGTACGACTTGATGTTGAGGTATGAAGTGTCCGTGGTGTGTTAGCTACGGTGTAGCTTCTTAGTAGGTTGGGTTATGCATAGAAGATATGCAAGTCTTTTTATCGAGCCTTGCAGATGGTTTCTTACAACGTATGTGAGCTTGTTCAGCGGACGTCGGAACGCCTGTTTGACTGACAGTGCCTTTGCACTGGTTCTAACCATGTCCAATAGTTGTCTTTTAAACGTGTTTTTGTTTCGATGGATTGTGACTGCTTGCTTGGATTGCTTGGATTGTGACTGCTTGCTACCTGATGCTTGCTGAGGTGCTCGAAATAGTCGTATATCTTCATAGGCTGAAGTTAATGAGAAGATCACAGAAACCACCCAGACTCAAACTGCCAGTCAATATCTGCTCTCTGGTCTTTCTGGACGTGAAGGTGCCCACGTTATGAATCATCCAACTGCGTTTGCGAGCACATTATAGATTTCTAGGCAAGACCACTGGATAACGAGTTTATCCAGTCGACAGCCTGGATGTGGCATCTTGGCATCAACATTCCTATCGCGTGTCGTAAAATCTTGCATATCTTTGCAACACTCATTCTTGGCGTAGGATCTATAACATGCCTGGATTTTACCTCTCTCACTAAAGGTGCAAGGTATTATTCAAACAGAAATGTATGATTCACGGCGATGCTGGCATGGTCAGTGAGCAGAATTCTCACACAGGATGCTGTCTTCGAGTAAAAGTCGTTCTTTGATGGTTTACATTGCTCGTAGTTCAGGTTTGTGGTTTGTGTTTTAGTTATGTTCAGACGATGAGGGTTATTGGGGAATAATCATGCTACAGGTCTCGCCAGTGGTGGTTACCTGCAATCTGTGTATGTGATATAATATGATGAATGCCGATGTCAGTATGCTGATACACTATCAGGAGTCCCCCCTCCTTTTGTTCTTAAGTATTTTGATTGTGGGGAGTTAGAGGGAGGACTTCCTGTAATGCTACGGGTTTGCGTGGCTGCTTGTTGGTAACACCTGTAGTCTATTGACTACAGGTGTTACCAGGGGCACTGGATCCTGCCCAGATAATTCGACACTCTGATGGGAGGCGCCGTTGAAGAGGTGTTTACTCGAAGCACTTGATCCTCGCTGTGCCCAAACTTGTTCAATATGTTCTGATAATTTGTCCATGTATGGAAACTCGTGCACTGAGGTGTATGAACGAGCCTTTCTCGAGGTACTGAGTGGTTTCCTCGTCCATTTGTGTTCTCAGCCTGCTTTCTCGCAATTGTAGCGTAGCCCCGATTTTCTCTCAGGTGTCAGATTTCATTTGGACTGAAAAGTTTATTTTGGGTTTATCTTTGGCTTTTTGCATTTCTCGTCACTATGTTTTGCTGGTGATGCACTCCATTGTCTACCTTGTTATAACCCTTTCTTGGTGAAATCCTAGTAGCAAGTTTAGTTTGATTGTCTCTTTGGGTTTGCGACACTCTTTGTTTATTAAAGTGTTAATTCTTTTCATGACATACATGATTGAAAAGATGAATCGCATCTGTAAAAAATCTCTAGCTAAAAAAGATTCTCGTTTTGTTTTTATTCATCAATTCTTTTCACCCACATTTCACATTATATATTAGCAATGGTAAAATCAATTGGTATGATTATCAATGTTTCATATTGCGATTTAGTAAATTAATTTTGAATTAATATGATTTGTATTGGATGATGTAGTAGTACGATTCTGCAAAGTGTCTTTCTGTCCACCTTTCATTTCTCCGTGATCACCTAATAAAAATCCGGGTTATAAGTGCTTTTTTTTTTCTCAAATCTTCTGGAATTGAAAATTAGTTTCGTGTTACTCTTCCCTTTAGCAACACTTTCATTCTACTTGTTTGGTGATAATTGTCAACCCTCCGTCCATGACTGAAAGCGGTGATAGTGAAAGGCAAAGGTGAAGAGATCACTCTGAAGAAAAGAAATTATAGTTGACTTTAGTGTAAGTAAAATGCAATTCTCCGTGGATCATGAGAATAAATCATTATTTTGATTATATGTGCAATACTTGACAAAATTAATTCTAGATTTACAACCAATAGTGCATGATCTGTATATTGACTACTTCGAATTAACCATAAATTGTTTCTTCTTTCGTAGTATGCACTACGATAATTGATGTTCCAGTCCAAAATTGATGTCAACTCCAATTTAAACTAGAGTGTTATTTCTTAGCAATCCAACATTAATTTCTTGGAAAGTTGTTAGTAATGTGTTTAGTGGCATGGCAAGTCGTTTACTTAGACTTGTGTATAGTTTGTTTGGATCTTTTTTGAACATGAATTCATAACTAGAAATCCTTATCTTAAAGTAGTTAGTGGATGCAGAAATCAACGCAAATCCTACAGTAGATTGCAGTTATATAAACCAAAATAAACTAACTAGTATTTAATCTTTACAACTAATTCATTTCTAAATAAATAGAATTTGACATTAATTTTTCCATTGAGGGGTCAATCATATTACTCACTTCCAATATTACTACCTTAGAAGTGTTTTTCGGGTCAAATCAACACTCATCTCCACAATTCCATATTTCACTAACCTATCTATTTTTTCCTCTTCTTCTCTTCTTATTGTTCTCCTTATTTTCTTCTTATAGAGAAGTAAGTTTAGTACTAGGATGATAAACATCGGATTTAAACAAAATAAATTGTTTGTTTACCGTTTGTTTGTTTACCTTTACCGTTTGTTCGCCCACTTGTATATCCAACACTCTCACAAAGTGATAAGCTTATATATATATATATATATATATATATAAAGGAAATGAAGTTCATGCAATGTAATCACTGTCATTGTGTAGAGTTTCTCAAATGGTTTAGCTTTCTCTTTCTTTTTTCTATACATCATCTACTTTAAAAAATTTTCATTCTCCTCTAACTTGCAAGATTTGAACCACATCTTTTCTTGTTCTTACACTTTGTACACTGAAAAAAATCCACTCTATCATCACATGTGTTGTTCTGAGAAATTTTTAATCTTCAAGACCCACATCATCTACATATGTTCTTCTTAGTACTCTCAAATCTCGTAGCAAAGATCATCACCTTTTTTTTACAGGTGTACACGAACTCACTAGCTGTCCAAGAAAAGCATCAATTTAAAAGATCCAAACATCTTAGATCATTAAACAAAAAACGCAAAACTTAAAGTGCAAGTGATTGATTGTGCTTGACTTACCAATATATTAAAATAGTGACTTGAACTTGGCCTTATGTGCAATCACATTAACAGAATTTTGAAACTATTCCTTTTAGAGTACTAGCATTAACAAAGATATCAATCATGCTTACAACTTTTAGCTTGGCCGAAATGCACCCAAAAATGGGATAAAAGCCACGTGTCATTGTTGACTTAACGTAGAGTATGCTTCTTGAGCCTATTTTTCATCATGTGTTGTATTGTAAATCTCATCTTCAGGTACTTAACAAAACTTCTAGTAGCCATAAAGGTTCAAAACCTCCTCAACCTCAAGTATTTTTTCTTTGTAAAATCGAAATGGAAGTCATCCTCGTGTTGTGGGCGCCTTCTTTTGATATTTGTGAACTCTGTTGCAACGGTTAAGACTTTACATGCATCACACTTCTTAAGCTCTTGATCTCTTTATTCACTTTTATGGAGCTGCAGCTTGCTACCACTCCCAAATTAAGATGACACTCAAGATTAGAAGCCCCGCGTTTCTTCCATTGAAACCAACTCAAAATCCACTTGAGTGATAACCACATCCTTAATTCTAGCTCTCTAACACTCAAAGGGTACTATAAATTGCATTCTAACAGTACATTTAAATCTTCTGGATTACGCTTGAACACAAGTTCCCAATTCAACAACGTGGTTAATGGCTGGAAACCCTCGTTAAACCCTGAAGTGAAGTAATAGTCAGAAATCTTAACTAACTTTTTCTCCTTAAAATTACTCTTCTCTTTAGATTAACAATCACATCCGATACAATGAATTCAGATCATGAATTTATGATTTGAACCGGGAGACAGGAGCTGGAGTGACACCTTCGTGACCATTCGGTTGCATTTGGAGCTGTTGCTCTCGGTGTTGAAGAATCATGACAAAGACCTGATCATGGAATTTCTAACAAGCCTTTGGAACATGCGTACTCATAAAGTAGTTAGTGCATTCGAAGCTTTCTGACTCTGACTCCCCGCACTGGTGAGCTGCCGACCGATAGTTGCTAGGGAGATGTTTCGAGACTAGCATTGGATATCAAGCAATGACTTCAGGAGATTCCATAGTCGGGTCACATGAAGTCTGATTCCAGCTGGACACATGATTCTGTGGAACTGGAATTTTTGCCTCGGTCACATGAAGTCATGGCGGAAATTCAGTCACTAAAGAAGTGCATGGTAAATGGCACTTCCGGTGGGACGACATGAAGCAGAGCTCGGCCATCTCTCCTCCCATACAAAACGCTTCCCATCTAGGTTATCACGGTAACAAGTATCTCGTTTGAATCTCTTCTTTGTGCCTTGAGGGTTGGCACCATTTCGAGTTCGTTATGGACAAGAAGGAGGAATAATTGCTGTCCACCTTCCACCTTTCATTTATTGACGTTGTCGTGGATGCAATGAGCGAACGCCTCTTTGATATCTCCCTAAGTTTTCCTGGCATCAATTTCACATCAGTCCTTGCCGGTTGTCGCATGACGGTCTAAACCATCTTGTAACCCGTCATGCTTCTAAACAGCAAGTCTGATTCTAGTTTGTAATCATAGCAATCAGCTCCCGTAAGAGATTATCAGCCCAAGCCTGAGGATGTGTATTTCATCCAATTTGGTGCATGCTTCTATCGTTGGTCTGATGATTAAACACTATCCCTTTGTTTCCAAGTTAGATCATATTGAGGCGGAGAACGATCCATCGCGAGTACGATGTTTCAGTCCAGGCAGGCATTTGTATCAGTTTTGAGCTACATGCGCATCGAACCTTCCATCCGTCTTGGTGGAACTCATTTACTCCTTCAGAAATTGAGTTCGCATACTGCTGAAGAATAGGTTTCGAGGACGGATTCTCGAACCCGAGAATCAGATAGAAAGCCAGTGAAAAATGTTCAAATTTCGTGGGGGAGGGAATGTATATAACTCCTCCTAGCAACTTCGTCTCATGCAAGACTTTGTCAACCGAGTTCACCATTTATTTGTCTGATAGGCTTCTCATTGTTTCCTCCTCACTTTTCTAGCTCATTGTCTAGCATCTTCCAGGGTCTTAAGGCTCTGACAGGGACAACTAGTGAGGTAGTCTGCTCTCCCAGTAGATATAGCTCGAGAGATCTCCGTTGACTTCATGGAACTGTGCACCGTCCACGCTCAAACAATGAATGTCTCATATGGTTCCGAGGGGTGTGAACCTCGTTGTTCAGCATTCATGTATATTAACACCCTCTCATATGTTCTTTACGAGCGAAATCTGAGAGCTCGATTTCTGAATCCAGACGAATCATGAAGTTCCCAAATCACATCAGATGCTGCCATATTCTTGTCGTGCAGACCTTCGGATGACGCATGTGGCGAAATGTATGAAGAGCGGAGCAATGGTTAATCATAGTTGGCAGTTCTCTGCAAGTTTGCAATTCCTGTCTCTGCAGACTAACAGTTGGCCGGTGCTGAACAGATTCTTTCCTGTTGACCCTGGAAATATAAGCTTCGAAGAATTTTCGAAAACTATAGACGATATGAAGGGTACTACTACTACTACTACTACTCCAGCCGTGGAGGGAATCATGTTCTGGTGTGGTGCTCGTGCGTCTTATTGCATGTGCAATCATATCCTGAAGAGAAACATTCTTCAGCTCTTACAACGAATGAACTCTGACGGCTGTTGACCAGTCCTCAGTCGTCCTCGTTTTTCCCTTGAATTGAAAATGCATGTCAATTCAATGATGCAGTCTGGAAGTCAGAAGTCATGTCACCATGCTACACCATTATTTGTATGTGTCTGATCTCGGCAGTCATTATTTCTGCCCGAGCAGCCAAATTGGATGTTGAAAATTCTCATGACATGACATTCATTCTGTGCCGTGCTTGCTACGAAGTGTATGCTCATCGGCGATAATTGCCCTCTAAAGGAAACGAGAGGTCGATTTCAATCTTGTCTTCCTGGAATCCAACTCACGGAGTGTTTTGTTTTTTCAGCGGACAGGGCTGTCAGCCCTCCCCCGATCATCACCAAGGTGGCTAAAAGTAAGTCATCAAATTCAGCGGTTTCTGCTTTTTAAATGACAACTTTAAAGCTGGCTTGGGAGTGGGGGAGGGAGGGAGAAAGGGAAGTCTGGTCAAGAGAAGAGGTGTTTCACATTAAAGAAATGATATTAAAATAATCTGATATGTCATCCTTTACTTTCAAAACGGGCCTCGATTCTTGGAACGGGGAGGCCACGGGATGCTCCCTGGACCTCGTCTGAATCATATCACAACACTGGTCTGTGTTTCACTGGCGGCTGGTCCTGGACTTATCAGACTTAAATATCCGGATTCCAGAAGTTGCAATCCTTCAAGAGGAACTGACGGGCACTTGCATTATGGACTTCAGATCAATATTCGGAATAAGACTCAGTTCACAGTATTATTATTATGACGACGTATCCGTCGCATGGTATCTATCGAGATGAGAGAAAGTCCAAGCTTTTGGGGGGAGAGAGAGAGAGAGAAGGGATGGCTGCACTCTGTGCTGGAAGAGCCTTAATTGAATGCATGAGTGGATGTACGTGTGTGCAGCTCTCGTCGGCAAACCGCCTCCCAAGAAGAAAGTGCTCAATTCCCAGGTACGAAACTGCACAAATTCCAGAGTCCAGTTTCTGAAATTGTCTGTCTGCCGATCTGTGTGCCTCTGACGGATGAATGAACGATGCATGAACTTGGGGAACGGATGGATGGATGGACGGGCGGACGGATGGATGTTCACGTGCAGCTGAAGGAAATGAAGTTCAAGCACCGTCGAGACCCGCTCGGACCCACGGACGCGTACCAACGGCCTTTGACTCAGAACATGGAGTACGGATGGGACACGATGGTCTATCCCGGAGAGTCCGCCGTGCCGGTGCACGAGAGGAAGCGCCACTTCCCCAAAGGTCAAACCGATGTCACCGCGGGCGGCGAGGGTCTCACGCTGGAAACGTATTACGGAGTGGAGTACATTCGCATTTAGACCGCCGGTCGCTCTCTCGGTCTAGCGGTCTAGGCTGTCCCCGCAAGGCATTGCAGCCCAAAGCCCAAGAAGAAGAAGAAGAAGAAGCAGGGATTTGGGAATGACACAACTTCACTCACTTTGCTCTCAGAAGAACGAACGATCGATCGATGGCGATGGTGGTGCGTGATTCTCGTACTCGTATTCGGCTTGAGTATTGTCGATGGTTATGGTGCGAGCAAGTAGTTACTATGGGGGAAGCTTCTGTTCTAGCTTGAGGAACGCATTGAATAAAGGACGAACATCCGGAGGCGCGGCTATGGCCTCAGACACCTCGCCTCGCCTCGTCTCGCCCACTTTTGAATGACGTGAAGTTTTGCTCTAGCATTGCCACAAATCTTCCTCTGCCTTAGCATCGTCGCGGTTGTCGTCGCCAGTTTTGGATCGCTTGGCAGTCTATGTCAACGTGATGAGCCCGTGCGAGACGGTGTATGAGCAATTTGTAGTACCGCCCTTGAACTGGACACCGAATAGGGCAGACATGACGAAGTTGCACATCGCGGACTCGTGCTTACGACGTATTGACAGATGCACATGACGAAGGACATAGGAGAAAAATAAACAAATAATTAACGACACCAATCCACAATCTATACTGCAGGCCGGCATGCAGTAAAGATTCGAAAGAGAAGGTGCAAGAACACAGAGAGGCCACTAATGCTCTTGTTCTCTCTCTCTCTTTCTTTCTGCGCGTATGGACACGCCAAAGCAAAGGTCTCGGTATAAAGAACCGGGGCTTTCAATTAATGCAAGCGGAAGGAAGGGAGGAAGGGAGGAAGGGAGACTGGGTGCTTCAGTAAATGGATAAGAGGTATTTACGGCCGGAAAGTGCTAAACCCTCGCTTCTGCAAAAGCTCACACTTCGCCGAGAATAGACGCGGGAGGGTTGAGGATGAAGTATGTCTAAGGCCGTGGGCAGCTCGACCACAGCCTCGATGGTCCGGTGAAACTCTCGGTTTTTCACCGAGGACGTGTGAAAAACTTGGGCGCAGAGGTCTGCTCTTCGGTAGCAGTGATCCCAAATCTCCCTCCGCTGCTTCAGCTGCAACGAAGTCCGTCATGCGTGGCTTGGAAAGATGAGAATTGTTGTGTCGGTGCTCATCTTGCGAATAGTGTGAACTACGTCAGTCGCTGAATTTGCTAACGCTGTGGACCCGGTAAAGGAGGCTGCGTTTGTCAGGCTGCGGACAACCGGTTCGCAAAAAAGCGATCGTTTCAGAATTCCTCGCAGGTCACATCCATGGCCACACCTGGGAAGCTCCGAGAGCTCACTTCGAGCCCATCTCAGCAGATTGGTGGTGGAATACGCATTCGACCAGCAGCTTTTGAATGTTGTAGACTCTTGAGCAACAGGTGGGGAGGTCCCCAGAAGAAATGGTCGTGGTCGTGTAAGATAGAACAAGATGCAGGGAATGCAATTCGCAACTTTCGCCAGGGGACGAGAACCTTTAGCCTTGAGCGTTCGTTCAAACGAGCAGCTCTTCCTTTAGACAGAGCCAGTATTGAGGGCGAAACTGATACAGAGAAACAAGAGGACGAGGAACCTTGGCTGGGGGCCGTCGTGTTCAAGCGAAGTTCTACTCAAACTCACTACGAGTTCCAGACGTCGCTTGAGCGATTAGGGCTGGCTGTGCTCTCATCAGATGCGTCCAGCTCACTTGCAAATTCTATTGGAATAGTTTCCAAAACTCCTGCATCTGGAGCGGGCCAGGATAACGTAACCCCGGTTGGCATCTCTATCGATGTGAGCAGGGAAGGGAGAGACTTGAGATTGGATGGACTAGTGCGCACGGCGATCACTCTTTGCTGCAACAGGTACGACAAGGGACTCGTGCGATGCGCGTTGATGCCTATAGGAAGAAGCAAACTAATTGTGGTCCGCTGAGGATTCCGCTGGCAACCTGTAGATATTGAGCATGTCCACTTCGTATGAGTAGAAGATTCTGTTGCTTCTGACCTGCAGAATTGATATTTAAGTAGATTAAAGAGCAGCTACACACAAATTCAAGCTACTGCGAGTTTCCCTACTGTTGGCTAAGCACCGAAGGGCCAGGGTTCTGTCTTCTGTTTATCCAACGAGGGATGAATATGAAGATATAAGAACGTGGTCCGATCTTGCGAGCTAATTCAGTGACAAGGCGTTCGGATTTCAAAATTAGCAGAACCGAATTAGAAAGCCTTCATGGATTTTACTAACTGGGGCTTTGTGCTGATCTTGCAGGTGTCTGTGTCCAGTCGTGGAGAGAGTTTTTGCTGATTTCAGCTTGCTGTTGACTGAAAAAGAGGTGAAGGAACCCACTCAACAACGAATCGGTGTTGTAATTGGGGATAATCCGTATCATGCTCCAGATGATGACGGCGATGGCCTGGACCTCGACTTAGATGATAAGCTTCAATTTCCCCGTGACCATAAGGAAATGGATCTTTCCAAGTACTTAAGGGACACCGTTCACCTAGAAATTCCTTCTAAGTCTCTATGCTCTGCTGATTGCTCTGGTCTTTGTCTTAGCTGTGGGGTAAATTTAAACCAAAGCACATGCAAGTGTGTCGACGTCAAAGTGAAGCCGTCTTGGGGACCACTAGAACAGTTGAAACGCCAGTTAGAAGAAGAAGAAAAAGAAGGTGATGACGATATTTTGGAATTATAATAAGTAAAGTTTCTCCGTCTTGACCAGTTCTTTTTCTGGGCTGTATGGAGATCGATCGCTATTCTATGCCATTTACTGATCGATGCTCTTCTCTTCGTAGTGAGACCCAATCTAGGATCTCACTTTCAGTCATATTGATGTTGTTCTCCAGTGATATACCGTGGATCTGAATCGACCGAAGAAGGATCGCTGCATCTCTAAGATTAGGCAGTAAACGTTGCTTTTTCACTCTTGGTGCCTCAACAGAACACCCACTTGTTTGTTTGGAGTGAGAAAGTCGGATCTTACTTCATCCCGAATTAATGGACTCCTACGTGCAAGACCTATTATTCATCGAAAAATATTTCCTGTATACAAGGAAGATAGAAGTGTGCTTCCTGCTGCCTTGGAAGTGCTGGATGAAGGGCAGGTAAGTTCCAATATATGGAGTGAGCCTGGACTGATCACTGTGTCTCGAGGATCCAGTCACGAAGTAAATGAACATTAATCGGAGAACGGACTTGAATTGTTGCCATACCTCACAGATTCACGTCAACATGAAACCAACGTTGTTTGCTAGCTAGCTAGCGAGCCCGACTGAGATCCAATTGTGCAGTTCTGAGATCGGCAGGCAGCACCCACCAGCTTCTGATTGGGCTTCTTATCGTGCAGGCGAGAGCAACGAGGTCCGTACCAGGCAAAAACGAGCGTCTCCTGCTTGGTGCACCCCTCAGTCGATCTAGGGGTTTCTGGCACAATGTTCATCTTAAGATCAAGTGAGTGCAATGTGCAACTGGACTACAACGGATGGGAAAAGGTGAATAGTCCAGCAGCTTCCTTCTTGGTACTAGCTCATCCTCTTCCCCTGTTGCCGCGTGATTGGGACGATTCTTTTTCGAGCTGCATCTGGAATTGGAACTCTGCAGCACATTCTGCAATCCAGGTCAGGGGATGTGACCTGGATTGCAGAATGTGCTGCAGAGTTAGGGGACGTGACGCGGCTGCCGAGACAAAGCATACCTCCCAATTCCCTCTTCCACGGACCCGTCCGAGATAACATCTATCCAACACGCTTCGGAATAAAAGCTCCTGAGGGACATATCCAAATAGCCGGGTACATTTTCTCCTACGGTCATATGTCACAGCTCGCACACACAAGTAGACATCTCCGCACAGTTTATCGATCATACACTGACCATTCTGACCTCATCGGATAGTCCAGCTTTTTCTATCCATACTCTCTATGGGATGGGGACGGTTGTGTTCTTTCTTCCTCTATTGATCTTCCTTTACATCTCTCATCTACCGATAGAGTGAAGATTGTGATGACGATGACTACTCATACAAGCAAATTGAAGGTGTTGTGATTGATTCAAAACATGTTTCCCACTTATGGAAATAGTTTCAACCAGCAATTGACGCGTCTCGGTTTCACCTCACTAACTGCGTCATTGCCCCAAGCGCAAAGATAGTGCTTGCTTTATGTGTAGGATTTGTAGGAATTTTGCTAGAAATTAATCAATTCGATCAATGTGAATAAGTTGTTCCACTTCGGTAGTGATCAAAGGATTTTGAGTAAAAGTGAAGGAAGTCATGAATTGTTACTTTGAATTTTTGAATGATAAATAACAGTTGCAAGCTAGAAAATTTACATAGAAAGTTTGCTTTAGTGTATAATTGATAGTAGAAGATGGTTGGTAGTAAATGATGAAATATTAAAAATTTTGAAATCGATCTTTTATAATTGATTTTAATCTGAATCGAAAGTTATTTTAAGTCTCAAAATAAACTACAACCTTTTTCATCTTGAAAAAAAATGAGTTGTGTAAACTTGAATATCATCATTTTTTGAAAATGCCACTCTAGCATCAAATACTTCATTTGGATATCACATTTTCTTCATAATTAACTTTGGTAGTTTTAATTGCAATCTTCAAGTCATATCTATATGACATGATGTCTTCGCGAGATAATGCAAACAGTCAAAATTACATTATAACTATGTCTTTCAGTTCTTTTTCCACAATTATTTTTGGGTGAAATCTCTAAATTTTTATGTCACAAATTAATTCATTAAGTGTTTTTACATAACACATGCTAACTAACTATAGTTCAACAAAAAATTTAAGAATTAACTCTTCACTCATGCGTTGAAGTATGCATTTATGAAAATTATCAAAATGAATACTCTACGAAAATTATTTTTTTAAATAAACAAAATATGTTTGTTTGAAAATGTGACTAATTAGAACAAACCAAATTAAAGTAAAATCAAATAGAGAGTAACATGATTCCTGATTTATTCCATTCATATTTTTTATGAGTACTCTTCATAATATTACAATGAATTCTAGAAATGTCAATATGAAAAAAATTGATTAGATTAACAAATTCTTGATTTTGTTCACAAATAGCTCAATATTTTTATCAAAAAAATCATTTTCAAAGAATAAATATATGTTGTTGTGACTCATCATATATTTATGATGAGTCACAACAACAACATGTATTTAATTTTTTTGAATGTGATAAATCTTTATCTTTCAATTGACACAATGAAAATTTAAAATTTAAAACATTTTCATTCAATCTTATTTTGTGATTTTTTTATTTTGTAAAATGTCATACTTCAAAAATTTTGTTATAATTTAGTTTTATGATATTTTTATTCTATAAAATTATCTAATTTGTTGTTGCTTCTATTATTAAATATTGAGCTTTTGTAGTTGATTGAGGTATGCAAATTTATAATTAAAATTTTTAACATTGCTTGAATTAAAATTATCAATACATACAGAGTTATACATTCAATGGTCAAAAATTAAAAAATTTGATATCCAGAATTTTGGAATCAAAATTTTGTCAAATGTCATCAAAATTATCTTACATTTTATGGAAATCAAATATCCTTGCAAGTATGCACCTCATTAAAAGAAACTTTGATATATGTTAGCACTCAAGTACAGAGAAAAAAACCTCAAAAATTCTTGAATTATTTGAAAATATGAGATAAAAATTTTAATAATAAAATAAACCTAGAAAATGTTTTCTTGTCATTGTCATTTCACCATCATCATACATTATACTTGCTATGCGTTAAAGATATAACATATTATATTGATAAAAATCACAATCCTAAGGAGTTGAGCTTATACATAATGAAGTGTGAACCCGTTTATCAAAAACCTAGCTCTTTGAAAAATTGTACCATGTATTTCTTTCTTGATGATTATTCAAGGTTTGATTAATTTTTTCACAAAAAGCATGAGATTTTTACAACTTTCAAAAGTTGAAAAGACCAACTTGAAATTTAGACTAGACAAAAGATGAAATACTTATGTACCGATAATGACAAATATTATACTTATGAAACATTGTAAAGTTGTTACGAAGAGAAGGAAATTACTTTTCATTTTACTATGATTTGTACTCTGCAATATAATATTAATTTTGATAGGCTCAATTGAACAAATTTGAAAAAGGTGTGCACTATGTTGAGCCAATCTGGTTTACCATATGAATATAAGACTAAAGTTGTGAATATCAAAATGTGTTTAATAAATTTTTCTACTTTTCATTCACTCAATTTTTTACCAAACTTTGAATTGAAACACAAATTTTTGACTCATAATTGTCATTTCCATTTTTTTCTTATATGATTTATCTTCTCATGATTAAGATAAGTATCAAGTTGCATCTTATATTCAAGAAGTGTCATTTTCTTTTATATGCTAGTGGTGTGAAGCATAATATATGCTTCATGTTACGATATATACTATGGATTGAGTCATATGAAAAAAATATAGATTACAACAACAAAAATTCACCTGAAGCAAAACATGCTACAATTTGAATAATATCTGTATTTGCTTTAATATTTAGTCCAACATTGACAAATGCAATAAGTAAATGAAGTTTGCATTTAGGATTAAAAATTTGGATTAATCCAAGAGGGCATAAGAGATAAATATTCATAACGTTTGGATTAAAAAATTCTATAGTTCAATCAGTGCAAGTATGTTCAACGTATACTTGTCAAATTTAAAATGGCAAATTTTTCAAAGGGTCGTAGGTTCCTTTATCAATGCACTTCAAACTTTTTGTAGCTCAATGTACAATTAATTTTATTGAAAAGAAAAGTATATTATTAATTCATATGAAACAGTTGTAATTAATCTCATGCATTTGATCATATGCTCAAGACAATATATTGCTGTAGCTATGCACAAAAGTGAGTAGATACATATCAAATCTATGGATGTGCATTGAGACACTAGAGTTTAGAGAGAAACTCATTCGAAGATGAAACATAAATTTTGAAGATGAAAAATATCAACAATGGTTCTACTCTGCATTATATAACTCTTATCAACAAGTAAAAGGAGATAAGATATCATCTCCACCATCCAATCCACTCCTAGTGAGTTGATGATACGGTAGATATACCTAATGAGTACCCGAATTTTTTATGTGTCACTCCCAACTAACACACTCAATCCTTATATAACAATCATACGGACTTATGACATGTTATTCTCAAATAACACACTAAGTAATACATAGATTGCTAACATGGTTGTGTAGATTTTTCACTATGATCTACTCTACTCAATCTTAAGTAATTTCTAATTTAATTCTAATTGATTAAAGATGATTACAGATGCAATATTATAAATTTGCAATGTTAAAAATCTACAGTGACATACCTATCTACATTTGATGACAAAAGCATTGATTGAAAATCTAATCTGTAAAAGTATGTAGTTCAATTCACAACAGAAGCTGAATATATAGCGACATCAAAAAATCACAATTAACTTTTTGATTGAATAGATTTATTAATAAGATAAGATTGAATCAATGTTTGTCAATCTTTAATATCATATTCAAAATGAATTATATTTTGCTGCAAATGAAATGATGAACAACATAATGAAACACACTGACATTAAATATCACTTCATCAAACATGCAATTATTAATGAAAAAATTGAACTAATTAAAATTATCGACAATTACAATCCAATTGATGCGTTGACCAAAGTTATTTTTTAAAATTAAAAAAAAATCATTCACTATGTAAG